CCCTTGTCGGCTTCCTCATCTTGAAGTGCCCACACCCGAACGCTTGCAATCTGTACACTTCGCTGAACTACAAGCAACACCACGGCCTTTCGGCCCCCCCCTCACAGGTACAATCAGTCGGACTCAAGAATCATTCGAAAACATGGCCACCCATGGTTGTGAAAAATCACTTTTGTGATACAATATGGATATGGGTCATTCCCATGACGTCACGGATCGGCACAGAAAGTGGCAACCTAAGATCCTAAGCCATATTTTGGGTGTGTTTCTTTTGAGGTTCGGACCCCCCGAAAATGACTTCGGCTCTCCTTTTGCGTTTCCCTTTAAAACCCCCTAAGCAAGGGGTATCCGCAGCTCGGTGTCCCGCGATCCCGCACCCGTCTTGGCCCTTTCTATAGAGCCACAAAATATCCTTCCGCTCGAGTTTCTTATGAAGCTCAGGGAACACACCCACCAAACTGTGCGGTCCTCAGATCCTCTGCTAAAAGTTTAACTTTTAGTGATTAAATGGAAACTACCACTAAACCCTAAAAGCCTAAAAAGCTCAGGAACCGGACGGCTGGGGGCCACCAAGCAAAGACATCCCGTGTCGATGCTCCGCCCCCTCCCTCGCAACAGCAGAGAACGGGGGGGCGCCTTGCGCCTGGTTCCAGGGTCCACCATTCCCTTTACACCTCAAGGCCGACGCAAACAAACTGTTGGCTGCATGGCTTCTCTTGGTTTCCCTTTAAAACCGCCCCCCCTCCAAAAGAAAGCAGCAAAACAACGAAGAAGGCGACTAATCTAATCCAATCCCCCCCCCCAAAAAAACACAAAAAACAAAAAACACAACAAATAAATACCCCACACAACTAAATACTTGCGGCCAACTCGCCAAAAAAGGAACCAGACCCTCTCCAAACTCCTTTGATCTGCGCGGCCTTCGCCTTGCGACCGCCCGGGAAACCTCAGTTCGAGTTCGGCAGTTCGCAGCGGAAGTGAGCGGTGTCCGAGTGGCCACCGCTGCTTGGTTTTTACCTGGTCATGGTGCTCTAAACCCCAGTTACAAGCAAACCCTGCGGCGCCCATTTGACATGGGAAATCAGGCACTGTCAGGGGACGGCGGTTAAAATCGAGATGTAGAAAGAGAAAGACAAAACATCGCTGCAACAACCTCAACGATTCCCCAAGTTGGAAACGCCCTGCACAGCACAAGCATCAGCTTGTCCTCTGCCCTTACACTTGTGTGTTTGGACTGGTTTGGATCAAGAACTCCTGGCTCGTGTCTCAAGCCAGCCATAAAACTCTAGCACCACCCCCCGACTTGAAATACATCGGCCAAGTATAGAACCAGCTGGGGACACAATCTCAAGGGCCGAGCTGTTCGGCCGCAGACTCAGAACTCCCTTAATGTCCGAACGCTTTGTCCTCACATCACACCAGGGAAAGTCAATCCAAACTGGACCAGGTGATGTTCAAACCAACTACTGGAAAATTTGGGGAGGCCTTCCAATCATAGTCGAGTTGTTGCGGCGATCGTGGAAGTGTAGCCAGCCTTCAGCGACTCGGCAGATCTCAAAACTCCTAGGAACGACTGTGGCAAAGTCTTCTAGATCTACCTCATCAGCTTACCTCCGACAACATGTCTAGCTTGCCATGCTATCTCCCCAACCTAGGATGCCACCATCCTACAGATGTTTTGGTCATCGCCCTGGTTCAGTCCAAAAAAACGACCCGACGGTCCGGCCATCCGTGCCCTGCAATGTTTGCATACGGAAAGCTGAAGAGCACGGAACGGATTGAGAACTGCTCCGAAATTCAAATGGCCCCCCCGAAACTATGGGTAGCGCCATCACCTAGCGCCATCACCTAGCGCCATCACCCTGGGGGGGTGGTCACCCTGGAGGTTTTCTTCTTTTTTTTTGGGGGGGGGGTCGCTCCTCCGGCCAAAAAGGCCCTCGCTTTTGACTTGCGACATGAAGGAAATCCATTTTGGGCGAAGAGGCGAAACATTTTGCCAGGCTTTTCAAGGCCCTATCCATCTGGATGAATTATAATATTTCACCAACCTCTTTTGTCTTTTCTCGGCCATGTCTACTGCACTCAGCGCTAGCGGAATGCAGCAGGAACCTATGTTCACCCCTGTGAAGAGGGACACAACCACCAGACAGCACTGTGCCTCAGCTACGGGTGATGTCCTCCATGGAGGACGTCGCTCCTTGCAAAACACACATGCAAGCTCAAGGAGAAACCTCGGAGCCACTACTCATTGAATGCACCTGCAAGACCCAGGCCATGGGGGTATTTGCACCCCGCACGAAAAAAACCGCTGTCCACACAGGCACACCGTGTGATGGCCGCCATCACCAATCAAAGGTGAGCACAAAGTGCTAGGGCACATCAAAAAAAAAAACAAGGGTATAGCTACCAGCACATCGTAACAAGCCGCCGGTCCAGGATGCACTGCTCCAGACGCCCCGACAACCAGGTGCACAGGGACAACCACCATGTGTGCAACCCAGCCAAACCCAGGGATCACCATCACCACTAGAGCCTCAATGCATCCACCTGCTGCCCAGCCATGGGGCACCTGACGCCCCACAAAACTCGATACCGTATGCACAGGCACGTCCCAATGACTGCACGCAAATAAAAACCCGTAGCAGTGTAGAGCAGCATGAAATCCAGCCTGCAACCCAGGATTTCACCATTGACCCAAGCTCGACTGAGCTGCAACTTCTGCTCTTCCGCGCCCTTGCATCATTGCCAGCTCCTGGGACACACTCCAAGATGACCACCTGGATGGTAAAGAGGTACAAGTTCGTGAATTGCCGCACAGGGTTGGGCTCTGTGGCCAAGCAGCGCAGCGCCTGAAAAATTTGTGGCATCCACTCGACTTTCAAGATGGGCTCGATGCCCGCATATGTCAGTCCGAATCCCATCGCCCCAACCGCGCGTGCCAAGCTGCTGTCAGAAAAAGCCCTGCGCCTGGAAGCAAAGGCCTCCTCAACCTCAACCAGTGAGGTTCTCACCCGACTGAGAACCTTCACCTCCATGGCTGGCGATCTCGGCTCTATCTGCCGTCCCAGCTCGGCCGCTGGGAGGCTAGAGCCACGAGCTATTTCACCAACCTGAAATAAGGTGCTTGGGGGAATATTCCCCGCATAAACCAATGGGTGAGGTGGGGTCGCGTGAGGTGGTTACAATTCACCCAGATCCATGCTTCCTTTTTTGCAGGGGACCCGGGGTCCCGGTGGGACCCAACCTTCCATTTGCTCAAGCCCCCTGGAAAAAATAGTTGCCAGTAGTGATAGATTCCCTTTACAACCAACAAGGGAAATATAACATATTCTTAAGCAAATGGAAGCAACATATAATATCTATAATATCTGCCCATCCTGCAACTTCCTTGCCACGGAGCGATCCGACTTCGCCGAATACGCCGCTGCATCCGCCACCGCGGCGCTGGAGATCTCGTTGGCCAAGGACTTCCTCGGGGAATTCCCCGGAAGGTACCCTGTTGGTTGGTTGGTTTCAAAGGAAACCAAGAAGAATCCAACCGTTGTTGGGCTGAAAGGACACCAAAAGGAAGCAGCGACCTTTTTGGGAGTCTCTTTAGGACACATATTTAAATAATGTACCAAAGGGCCTGTGAAATGGGCGAACCTTTTTGGGTTTAACGTGGTCGGACACAACTACTCTTGAGCATCACCCCCCCCTCTAAGTTTGTGAGGCACTTTAAGGCCAAAGTAACGATCATGGACAAACATGTTCCTTGTGTAGCCACCATTTGCCCCAAAGGAATATCACCCAAGACACCTCCACCTCAAATGAGGAGTCTTGTAGATCCAGGTGAGCGCAGATTCTAATGGGAACCTGGACAGTCTCACTTCCTATGGCTCTGTTACTGTCGTCAGATCCCCTGCCGAAAGTGACAAACTTTGAGTGGGTTTTTATTGGGAACCCCCACAATACCCCAAAAACCTACAGTAAAAGGCTAAGGAACCGGATGGCTGGGAGCCACCAAGATTAGACGTGCCTGGACTGTTGATTTGCCATGGTCCCGAAAAGGCCAAGTGAAGAACTGGGGTGCTTCCCTTTGACCTTGAGAGTAGGGAACCCGGGCGCCACGTACACCCGTGTCCGCTTGATCAACAGCGGGTGTCCCGTTTTGGGGGGATCCTTCCGCTTTCTCTTTTCTTTTGTGTGTGTCTTTCTTGTCTTCTTCTTTTCTTTTTTTTTGGGAGGGGATCTGAATTAAAAAACAAGCGCCAACTAAAGCTGACCAGAAACCCTCAAGAGGGTGTCTCTATTTTCTCATGGATCACATCTGCGGGAAATCTGGGGAATACATGGTACAAAATACGGGGAACGTGTAAGGCAGCCGAGGTTGATGTTTTCCTCATTGAACGTATCGGGGTCAACTAGGTGAACCATGGTCAAACCCTACAACAGTGGTGTCCATGTGCTTCCCCTCTAAAACAACCCCAAAACGGGTAGCCTAAAAACCCACTACCCTGAAACAGGTAGCCTTAAAATCACTACCCCCATACCTGGGCTGCCTTCAGATCCCCCGCTAAAAGTGACTAACTTTTAGTGGGTCAAATGGAAAAAAACTAAATACGAAAACGCCAAAAGGCTGAGGAACCGGATGGCTTTTGGAGCCACCAAGAGAAACAGACCCCTTCTCGTCGAACCCCTTACGCTCATTTGGGCCCTGGAAAGGTCCAAAGCAAATCACGCTCGAGCCAACGTCTTCCAGTCCCAGAGAAGCTAAACTTTCCAAGCACAGGGTGATGAAATGGGTGTGTCTGTTTTTGAGGGTGCCCCCGCCCCCCATGTTTTGTGGTTTTACAGGAAAACCCAAAGGGAATCCGAAGCCCTATTTGGCGGGGGATCCCTAAAAAAGAAACAAATCCAAGCCACCAAAACCGTTGAAACACAGTTGGGCCCCTGTTTTGGCAACTGCCGATTTCGTTGGCGGAAGGGTGCTTTTTCTCTTCTTTTTCTCCGTAGGTTCT